TTTCGAGTTTTTAGTTTCTGTGGGCGAAGAGGATCGATCGCACCAGTTGAGTTTCCGTTGATTTTTTGTTTATGTCATTGGACACACCAGTAGGAAAGAGTGTGTTTCAGCTGTTTAGTTGTATAATTCGGAGTGTTTTGGTGATCCGTTCAGCAGAGTCACGTATAGCTCCTTGGGGTAGCGGCTTTTTCCGACTTGCATTTTGCCATTCCTCTTGGGACACGAGCACTGTGACGTCGCTCCTGTGTGACCAATGTGCCTTGATTACGTTTGAAGCACGATCACATGCTAGTCAATCTGATTTAGTGCTCCAGTGACCTCGCATGGCAGACATTTTCTCCTTCAGCCTTCGCAATTTTCCTTGGGCTCTTGGTATTATACGTATTAACGATTTAGCTTGTACAGTCCAATGTACTTAATCCGAATTAACAACATGTAAAGATTACATTAATATGACAGAAAGCGGCAATGAGCCGAATCGCGACATTCTTCAGGAAACCAACCAATTGATACACTTGGTTCTCTCTCAGACTGATTGGTCTACACGTTTTCAATAATACGCATGATGGATTAGCAAGTTGTTAGCAGCAACGCAACACAAACATGATTTGATAATAAATAACTCTCTACCAGATTGCTCCATCATTTACTGGAACTACTCACACGAGTAGAATGAGAAATAACGGGAGACGTAATATGCTCCTCCGAAGCACTCGTCTCAACTAAAGACTCTTTACATGCCGGCCGCGGTGACATTCTTGTTGGCAAAGTCCCAGTTGATGATCTGCCAGAAATGCTCGACGTATCTGAATGTAAAACCATCACCAATCAACTATCAGAATCTACAACCAACTACTTCGGTCTAGCGTTCCTATAGTCAATGTAGTATGCATGCTCCCATACATCACAGTTGATAATTGGAGTTTGACCGTCCCTCAGAGGACAGCCAGCATCATGACCTTGAACCTGACCACTCGCAAATCCTGACACCACAATACCAGCGAAAGTATGAATACAAAGTAGCGCCAGATGATAGTAATAAAAATCAAAAGAGATCGGACAACGAGAACGATCCTCAAGAATATACCATCGAGTTTTCTGTCTGCAACTCTTTTGCCGGCAAAAGGGCACCAATGGCCGTAACGCGAGATGAAAAGAACAAGAAGATACTAAACGGAATTCGGAGTAATACGCCAATGATGAACTGAAAAGCCAACTCACAACTTTAAGTTTGCCATTATCAGCAACAAGCCATGCCCAACCACTGCCGAAGTGACCAACAGCAGCAGCGGTGAACTGCTTCTTAAACTCCTCAAAGCTGCCGAAATCTCTGTTGATAAGATCAGCTATCTTCCCAGTGGGAGCGTTACCGCCATTAGGAGATAGACTGTTCCAGAAGAAAGTGTGGTTCCATGCCTGACAATGATGCAAGTAAAAATCACACGACACAAATGTCCCCCACCTGAGCAGCCTGGTTGAACACTCCACCACTCTTGGTCTTGATAATTTCCTCCATGGACATCTTGGCAACTTCACCATCTTCAGCGCAGATCTTGTTGAGATTAGCGACATAAGTAGCATGATGCTTGCCTGAACGATAGTCGAATACTAAGTAATCAGAAGAGAAAATTATGTACCATAGTGGTACTGAATAGTCTCAGCAGACATGTGGGGCTCCAAGGCATCTTCAGCCCAAGGGAGAGGAGGGAGAACATGAGGACCAGCGGACATAGTTTTAAACGGCTTACTCAACAACAATGACTAAACCAAATCCATAAACCTCGCATGCTACATAAAATAATGAACGAATTGGAAGATGCCACGCTTTAATATTCCTGACGGAATGAGACACAAAGAAGACATCACAACTGGTCCGGTGCGCAATCCAGTTTCTTGTGCCGACGACACTGAAGAACAGCTATACTGCTAGGCAACACACACTTGAAATGGGACATTCGAGCAAATTCAGTTGACAATGTTGGTTGAGACCTGAGCGATGTTGTCATAATGAACCAGAATTGTGGTTACCTAAATGAATGCACCACGACATTCGGCCGAATGGAGACAACAGTCCAGTCAGATGCTGATAACGATAGCACACAAATTGTGTCTTTGGTCCTTTATCGGCGGAAAATCTCTAAGTGAGACTTGCTGGCTGAGCCCGCCCAGCTCAACTCCTTCGCACATGGGAACAACTCGTTTCCCTTTGACACGCATGACGCACATCACAAACAAGAAAATCTTATCTATCAGGAACTTTGAAATCTAAGCTTACACAGTGGGAAACCTTACAACGACTACTTAGAAAGTTCGACTGGTAACCCCGACCAACGTCAGTACAAGGCTTTGACCAGTGGGAGCAAACCGCTTGAAACATATCGAACGTCTCAGACAAACCATTTATTCAACTACATTTCAATATGCAACATGATGAGTAATTCATGATAATATTCCTAACCAATGCAATACAAAAGAAGCGTTCTCCCCAATTGAATCACAACTCAGACACGGTTACCATTACAAAGGGAACTTTGCTGAAATCACTGGAACAGACACCAGCATAGTATTATATCTCAGTCCTTTCACAGTAGAAGAGAAGGTGGCCTTATAGATGCCAGTGCATGAACATATCACGAATCCAACCATCACAGCACATTTTTCATGCTGAATCACAGGACTCAGCAGCCGTTTAAATACCAGCCTTGGCAACATTGTCGTTGACGAAGTCCCAGTTGACCAGATTCCAGTAGTTCTTTACATACCTGAACAAAACAGTTGAAATGATCTCATCCAAAGGCCATAATCGTACTGTGCTCTAGCGTTCCTGTAGTCAATGTAGTAGGCATGCTCCCATACATCGATGTTCATAAGAGGGGTCTTACTCTCCCTTATCGGGTTGCCAGCGTCGTGACCTTGGACCTACACACGATGAAGATGATGACAGACTAGACTGATGTCGACGATCATGATGTGCATGCCACCAAAATTGACCCGCTCCTTACAATCTTCAGTTTGCCGTCATCAGCAATGAGCCATACCCAACCACTGCCGAAGTGTCCGACAGCAGCAGCGCTGAACTCCTCCTTGAACTTCTCGAAACTTCCAAAGTCGCGAGTGATGAGCTCGGCAATCTTGCCAGTCGGCTCTCCACCACCATTTGGCGCCAAGTTGTTGAAGAAGAATGTATGGTTATAAACCTAAAATAAACATAAGACGAAGCTCAACGGGATTACAAATAGACTCACCTGAGCAGCCTGGTTGAAAGGCTTGCCAGTCTCGGTCTTGATAATTTGCTCCAAGGTCTTGCTGGCGATGGTAGAGTTCTCAGCAGCGATGCTATTCAAAGTGTCAACATAAGTTTGATGATGCTTATCTGAAAACGGAGAAAATGACCGTGGAAAATTCCAACCATAAACCAACAGCTCACCATGATGATATGTCAAAGTCTCAGCAGACATATGAGGCTCCAATGCGTTCTTCACATACGGCAGAGGTGGGCACTGGAACGGTCCAGTGACTGACGAGAAGCAACGAGCCAAGCCCATACGGAGGACTGGCGTGGTAGCCAAACTCGCGAAGCGATGACCAGCGACAGATAACATATCAACTTATTGAAACAATAAACTACTAAAGAGGCAATCGAGCTTATGCATAAAATATTCCCAAGAAAACGCTGACTCGGGCCGACTACTCCGAAGAGCCAAGCGCAATGCCTAGACATGACCCATGTGATTCACATGATGTGAAGGACATTATTCACCATGATGGAAGCATAGCGAAAACGCGACCTCGCAAGGGGAACGATTTGCGAACAAGAACAGCTATAGTAAGTTGTAAGACAAAACACACTGAGTTGATATGAATTGTTAGTAGACGGCAGAATGCGCTAAGAGCAATGATACTATCACAAAGCTGCACAGGGACATGCTTCGTGCGATAGATATCAACCGCGTAATAATTAGCTCGACGGTAGGTTCGCACTAGGCGGTCCCTAAGACAATCGAAACCGCGCGCGTCCCTACGGCGCAAGATCTAACGAAGAGCACTGTCTGCACCCCATGGCTCGAGTTGAAGACTCTTCAAACTGATTACGCGTTAGTTCATCTGAGATCATTCGTTTTGTGTAAGAGACTCTTACTAAGAGTGTCTAAGTGTGTAATATTGAGATTTTCACTCTCTAAACAGATATATCAACTGCAAAATGTGAACTAACCCATACATTTCACTCACCAACACAGAACAAGACTCACGAAGGCTCACGAAGGCTCGATGTATCACCGATACGATACGCCACCTCAAAGAGGAAGGATGATGGACCGGTGAGGGAAGAGAATACCGCCTACCGTCATGAGTGAACTTCTTAGGTGGAGAGCTATGCGCGGGGTGTCGCAGCAGAAGAGTTGGCCCATTGGCTGCACATTCGTCAGTCAACCTCCAGGGGGCGGGACAGCCCTAGACTCTTCCGCTCGTATAACGGTGACCTGTTGGATGCAAACGACGTAGAGAGTCCATAGCTGGAGCGGCTAGAGTGGCCGGGTAGGCTATGGGTGCAACATTTCAGTCTTGGCTTCGTGCACTGAAAGCTGGTATTGTTCAGGCACAGGAGATCTTAGGCAACCTGAAGGATGAACATTTGGAAAGAGTTGAAAAAATATCAGAAGAAAATTCTTGGAATTCCCTTGAATTTCTTAAAACATAATATTCCAGTGAAACTTTGCCAGGTCCTCGCATACTTTTCTCCCTAGCCCCGAGAGTCTCGTCCGACTACTGTCGGGCAAGAAGTAACCTTAGCGACAAAGTCACTGAGTATACTCACCCACAGGAGAAACCGAGTTTCATTGGATGAGTCTGTCATTTGTTTGTATTTCAATGATCGATTATTCAAGTATCTAATGGGATAAGTGAACTCAATAGAAGTGTGGCCCACACAAGGAGAGCTTCCATACATCCCTTCAGGAATTCAGTTTCATACTCGCAGTAAACGCTGAGAACTGCCGGTTCGAAATCGGATGCAATATTATGAGACATCCATTAGAGAAGCTGTGTGGTGTCGAGTTGTAGACATTATGGAATCCATGTTGTGCATAGTGGGCGTTGCAATTGAGGTACCTACCAGGTCTAGTTGTCGCGAAGCTTGATAATGTCCAGGCAATTGAGGTATCTACTAGGTCTAGTTGTCGCGAAGCTTCATAATGTCCAGGCAATTGAGGTACCTACTAGGTATAGTTGTCGCGAAGCTTCATGATGTCCAGGCTGGTGTGCATTATCACGAGTTCATTGCTAGCTCACGTCGGCACAGATGGCGTAGAGTGGCTGCTCTTCTACTTCAGCGAGGCGTCGCTGTACACTTCAATCCATTCTCGAACTACCTGGCGGGCTACAAATATGGCTGCAAATTGGATGCTGAATATCAACTCGATATCAATACGTAATCATATCTTATGCATTTCTTGTTTTCAGAGAAGGCTATGGAGACTCCATAATGGAGTACGTAGTCTACGTAACGTAGAGGAATCTCCAGTACAACAGCAGGAGACATTCTGAGCTGCTCAGAGTGTCTCCGCTGTGGACGAAGATGGATATAGATGTGAACTACGTGAAGGTGTCTTATTCTATTTTATTTAACATTTGTTATCTATGATAGATGGAATCTGTTAGATCCAACCATGAACAAACGCAAGGGCGACAACTATCATGAGCAGAAAATATAGTAAAGTAAGACATAGTGCGCTTATTCGTCCACGATGCTCACCATGAAGCCCTCAAAAGTTTTGAGTCAAAACGTGCAAGGATTATTTGGCATCAGTTCGCAACGGCTACTATTTTCGTTTCTCCAAAATCCTTGAAAAACCACTGAGCTGACTTTCGCGGACCGAGTCAGCTGGTAGATGTATCTCCACGAACGGGTGCTAGCACTACTCTAAACGGACGGTTGGTTACATAGGTGGAGGCTTCATCGTGAAGCGGCACTAATATTTCCTTCACGCTAGTTCCACAGGCGACCTTAGGTCGCCTACTTATACTCAAGTCTGTCGGAGTCATCGATTACGGTAATCGGATTACCGATGTTCAACACCGGGTGTTGATGAGAAGGGTGGCAAGGCTTGCTGATAATTGCGAAAAACACTCAAGATAGACGTCTCGACTGCCTGGGCATGGCGATCACTCTTGTGGATTGCTAGGCACGCAGGTAAGATAACATTTACCATGAGTAATAGTTGCTTGTGTTGTTCGGGTACGTCAACAACACGCGAATCTCCTCCGGTTGGTTCACCTGAGGTAAATCACCTCGACGATGATGACCTATAGCTGCCATCTCACTTCCCTTAGAGAAGTTCTCTAACCAAGTGACGCAAGTGTGCGTTGTATAGTCGCGTCAATGCGCTGACATGAGAAGACATCTCACAATGACTGCACAAGGTTGGTCCTTTTATGACCACGACGAGGAGCGCTCGAGGTCGAAAGTCGATCTCTGTTCTTAGTATCCATTTCTCGGGATTCTGCTTCTCCGCGTGGTTTGCACAATGTGAAAACCCGCGCCATGGGTTTGATCAGCAATCACCGACTCCGACATTCTATCCACTCTATTCGACATATCCATGTTCTGTACATGCATGTAGATTAAGCGTGGAATCGACGCATCCTCAATAATTGAGCCCCAATGCAAGTTCTTCTCGTGCTCACTCACTCCTCGGATTGAGCACTTTCGAGTCCTTGAAAATCAGGCTGATTTAATCAGCAGATGCAATACATGTGAGGCACTCCCATACGCCTAGAAACTCTATAGTATAGAGCCTTCCATTGGGCTGTTTGCATCAATCGAGCACAAAAAAATGATCCTTGAACATCGAAACTGGTAGTTTAGAGTTTATGATACAGAATGGTCTGTAACCGTCCATATGTCAGAAAGGAATTCATCTAATCAACTCTTCCTTCGACTGCGTGGACGTTGTGCCATCGGCGTGCTCTGTGGTTGTCGTAGTCCTGAGTATCTGTAGCAAAACAGTCTGAATTCGGACACAAGGGTTCAGTGATTCACCTTCTTGCCATTCTTAGTAACTACTTCCTGCTTGGTGGACGTGTGCACAGCGGCGGGGCCTTCGTTCTTCGAAGAAGTTGCTAAGAACAAAAATATAAAAAACATTCGCGGCGTGATCAACAGGTCAGGAAATAACGTCAAAAAAAGGAAGTATAACAATCTTCCAATTCTCGAGCAAGTCCAAGCGAGCCAGCCGATGCAGCTATCCGCTAAGAAGTGTAAATAGAAGGTAGTGGTGTAAATGGCACGAGAGTTGTGTTTTATGTGATGATGCTCATACATAGGCCGTCCCTTTCACTCGTACCCCAGAAGAAGGCGGAGGGGACCAGTAATGCAGCAGCGGCAGCAAATAGACGACGTAGGAGCTGTGGGGCTCGCCTCATCGCACCTGAAGTACCAAACTATGGAGCCGCAAAGGCAAGGACCCTACGTGAATGGAGCATCTTTCTTAACATCTTCGCACCGAACATGTCGAACCCAAACCGCGCGACTTCAAAACCTTGCCGTAGCGTATCTGAGATACACTGTCTCGACAAGGAGCTGTGAGAACCAACAACGAGCGGGGTCTGTGTCGCGGTAGCTAAATGTGTTATTACTAATAACCCCCTTAGCTACCGCGACACCGAGCACGATATTGTAGTTCACCCCCCGCCCCCCCCCTCCCCCTCGGACACAGTAGGGACTCACAGAACACGTGTGCGACAAACGAACAACATATCAAGGACATAACAAAGTATTTGTCAGACACCAAATAAGCTACTGAACTACGATGAACAACATACTATTCAATCTTACGTTTATTGGGAGCTGGTGGTCTTCTGAACGCGTTTCCAAAAGTCTCCCCCCATATCCCCCAAGAGCGAGCCGGAATCCACCCGCGCAAATTCGGAGAGCTCGCGAAAGGTTTCTGGCCGCTTCTGCGACTCGACGCATCCGACTTGGGTCGACGTTCTACAGGGAGAGGACGTCAGTGAGTGCGTCAGGGTCGTTACCGTCTCACCGATAAAATCCAGAGTCCATTGGGTTTCCAAAACTATCTCTCATCGCGCTCCGTAAGAGCTCATCTAAATCCATGCCCATTGCTCTCTGATAGACGGAAACAACATGTGCTACGAACAGAAGGAACAGCACGGAGACGCTCACCTTGAAGAGTTCCTGTGCTTCTTCCATTGACATTTGTCTGTAATAAGCATTGCCTACGAACGAAGGCTGACTAATATTCCTCTAAACTATGCCTACCTTGAGTGAAGCCCTCACTGTCGGGGAAACCACCCCGTGCGAAGCCACTGCTCCCTGGGAACGGTCCCGAGGTCCCCGGGAACGGTCCCGACGTTCCCGCGCTAGGACCCGTAGGCCTTCTTGTACTAGCGCCACCTCCATACGGAGATGAGCCGTTGTCGAATGCATCGTACCTGGAGTCAATGTAGGCTGACCACCACCGCTGCTTTCGAGTGAAAGACTATGTAACGAACTACTGCCTAGTGCAACTCCAGTGGAGTGGCGACAGTAGTAAGAGCAGTTAGGTTCGGACACTTACTGTCTGCGTTTGGACTCATCCCCGAGAGTCTGATAGGCCTCTCCTATATTCTTGAAACGCTCCTCAGCTGCATCACGTTTATCCGGATTTCGATCTGGGTGCCACTTCATCGCTTGCTTACGATAGGCCTGAGGAGGAAATCATTCAGCTTACAGCAGAGCTTACAGCAGGGGACAGAAAAAGATTGCCATTCTAATATATGCATATCGTTACGTTAGAAAAATGATACAGCTTATGACATCCTGTGCACCATCGTCATGTTGTAGGAACCATTCAGGTTTGAATAATACAGGCAAAGTCAACTTGGCTTTACTCGGTCAATGAAAATGTCGGAATGTGTTTCATCATCAATACATATATTTTGATGACTATTATATAATTATAACATAATTGTAATTATTTAAATTGAGACTGCACGATAGCTGACCTTCTTGATGTCATCTTGAGATGCATTGCGAGAGACGCCCAATACACTGTAGTAGTCCTTAGGCCCACACTGGGTGGCGAAGGACCGTCTAAACACTGGAGAGGCCCGCCCGTATGGCAATAGTGGCGGTGTTGAACGTGCAAACAGCCGGGATGAGAGGACCGCGACTGTCGGAGTTGCTGCTCGGAATGTGGAAGGATTAAGGAATGAATTTAGCATAGACAACGATGGTGAACAATATAGGCAGGGCCTCAGGAGGCACCCTTCTCATAAAACAAGGTAACTGAGGTACATCTCCATTATATGCTGACCAATACTTCGATTGAAAGCTGGGAAAATTCTCGCCCTCTCGCCTCGCATCCAAGGGATATTCAGTGCTCGATAGTGGGACTCAACAATTTTCGCTATGTATTGTCGCACGTTAGTCAGAATCTCGAAAATGACTGTTTCATCATCCTGAAGCCTCTAGCCCAAAAATTTACCTTCACTTTACGGAACCCCGAGTGTCGCCAGCTACTTCAACACATACTCCAGTGAACAGATAGAAACTTCAGTATATTCATACTATCGGGTCTTAGCGCGACCAATGATAACGCTGTTTTTAGGAGTGCACGTTTCTGGTATTATCCGGGACAGTGATACAGCATATCCGAAAGTGTCTCTAACATTTATGAGCCTATCAGTGTCAACCACTCGCATGCACGCACGCGCAATTCGATACTCTGCTCGTTGTGAATATTCGAAACCGTCTTTACCGTCCACCACCGAGTAGTCGGCCAACGATGCTACTGTCCTGAATTCATCTTCGCTCAAAACTCCTCCAACACCGTCGTGGCTCCGAGGTAGTTGCCCTACGCCTGCGCCTTCAGCACCGGCAATTTGCCCATAACAGCACGGACATACCTATGAACAAATCGCTCAAACATTGTTCGGAAGCTCCTTCGTATAGTACTACAAAACTGCAGTTTCTGGTAGTGCAAAAGTCTATGATCATGTCAGTGAGGGCACCACATGCATGTAGACCAATACCTAAACGACGTGGAATAGAATCAATCTGAAAAACTAAGGTAAACTAAACTAAGAACGTTTTAGTAATTTTTTGCAGGAAACATTAACTACGTCAAACATGAACCTCTGTAAGACTACTACTATCCTATAAGCTTTTCAATGTCTTCACTCCACCTACTCCTCCGTACTGTGTATAACATTACACAACGACAGTACTGATAGTGTATAACAGTACACAACGACAGT